AAAAAAAAAAAAAAAGACAATAATAAATATTGGCAGGAAGAGGAGAAATTGGAACCTCCATAAGTTGCTAGTGGGGATATAAAATTGTGCAGCCACTTTAGAAAATTGTTGGGAAGTTCCTTAAAAAGTTAAACACAGAGCTGACCTAGCAATTCTACTCCTAGGTAATTCCACTTTAGAGAAATGAAAACATGTGTTTATATAAAAACTTATAAGTGTTCATGGCAGGATTATTCCTGATAGTCGAAAAGATGGAACAACCCAAAATGTCATTGAGCTAATGAATAAACAAAATATGGTTTGTTTATATAATGGAATATTATTTGCCCATAAAAAGAAACGAAATACTAATACATGTTACAATATCAATGAACTTTTAAAATGTTGTAATGATAACTGAAAGAAGCCAGTCACAAAAGACCATTTATCATATGATTTCAGTAATGTGTCCAGAATAGGCAAATCTGCAGAGAGAGAAATTAGATTAGTGGTTTCCAGGAGCTGGGGCTGGGAGGGGAAATGGAGAGTGACTACAGATAAATATGGAGTTTCTTTTTAGGTTGATGAAAATGTTCTAAAATTAGATGGTGGTTATAGTTGCACAGGTCTATGAATATACTAAAATCTACTAAGTTGTACACTTTAAAAGGGTGAATTTTATGGTAGATGAATTATATATCTCAATAAGGCTTTTGTTAAAACAAAGAGAGTAGTTTGAATAGCACTTGCCTTCTTGTCTTGTAACTTATGATGGAATAAGCAAAATTTCTATGCCTTGGAGAATTGTCATACCCTCTGTAAGTTTGGATCACCTTCTAAGTATTTTATCTTTTGGACTTTCAGTGTCATTAAATACTCAGAGTTCCTTTACTGTTAAGCTTTTGCCAGCATCACTTCTTTTTGGGTATCTTACCCTTTTTGTCATTTACCACTTTTATCATTTATGTTGATAATTTGCCTTCACTAACTTCCTATTCCTTCATATCTATAGAGTCCTTAACGTTGGCAATATCAACCTGACAACCAGTCAGCTTTCTTCTATAACTCCATTTATGTTCTATTTTATTTTCATTGCCAACACTATCACTTTTCTTTGGTGTACTTTTATCAGTTTTGCTGGCCTTGTTTGATTATTTATTTTGTAAATTGTCATGTGGGTTTATCACTGGAAGACTCGGATGCAACGGAACTACACACTTTGCTGTCTGTAGGTGAACTGAATAAACAGATGACTGGTAGATTTTGAAAGAAGTATTGTGGTTGGTCACGGATCATGATGTGCTTCTGTTATTTTTGCTAGGATTTGTGGAATGAGGAGCTAGAAGTAAAGTTTGTGCTTTATGCAATTACATTTATTATATAGTGGCAAGTGAAAGTTGAGCTGTGTTATTGGGGAATTGGTATTATTTAACTATACTGTGGTAACTGAAATTTATGAATACTGGAATTGTGCAAAGCAGAGACTGCTTGTATTATCCTATTTAGTTTCTAAGGATAAGTTTCAGACTATAAACATTCTAATAAATAATGGATAGAGGACAAATTTTCTATTAAAGCATCTAAGACTTAGTTTTCCAGTAAAATTATTCCTAGTAGTATAACAGATTATGTATTTACTACCTCTTCTGTTTTTGATTTTTGTAGGAAGTTGGTATGCCAGCAGATTATGTAAACAAGCTTGCTAGAATGTTTCAGGACATAAAAGTATCTGAAGATTTGAACCAAGCTTTTAAGGAAATGCACAAAAATAATAAATTGGCTTTACCAGGTATTATTT